TATTTATTTAAAATTTATAATATTAAATATATTTATTTATTTAATAATATGTAAAAATTATATAAAATATAATAAAAAAATTGTCCTATAAGTATCGCCGGCCTTAATATTTCTTGGCTTTGCGATTAAGAAAGTATACGTGAGAGACACATTCCAAAATTTGATGTAGTGCCCTGACCGGCACGCCTCCTCATGGCCTATTCTTTTTTAAATTTTTAGTATAAAAGCCAAGATGTCTATTTTTGGTATTTACAATTAGGCTGTTTTTGGGTGAGCCTTCACGTATCTTAAAATTAATCATTTTAAAGTTATTTTAATTGTACACCCCTATATCTTTGGTATTTACTCAAAATTTGAAGGTTAAATATTTTTTTTAGTTTCTCTACTATTAAAAAAAAAAATTTTTTAATCTTTATACTGATAAAAAAAATTTTTTAATCTTTAAAATTAAAAATTCAATCCCCTTTTTAGTCTCTTTATCGGTTAAGTCACACCGTGGTACTATAATTAGTTAAATATTTTGTTTTTTTTTTTTTAATGGTGATGTGTGATTATATGTTTCAAAATTGATGAATTAGTAATAAAATTTATTTTTTATGTAATCAATAAGTTCTAAAATAATTAAAAGAAAAAATCATCATTTTCCCTTTGTCTTTTCATTTCCCATTTCTGTCCTCATCTTCTTCCTAAGCCCAAATCCCTTATCCTCTTTACCTTTGCCTGACCCTAATCCCCTCTCATCCATTGATTTCTTCTTCACCAACCCTTCCTCCATCAAAGCCCTCAAATCTTCACACTAATCTTCGTCTCCATTAAAGCTGTTACCTTTCTTCAACGACCCCTTCTTCTCCTCATCCGAAATCTATCCTAAATCTGTCGAAGTCCTTTAGAATGACCTTAGTCGGTACTTTTATCTCAAGGACCATTCCTCCATCAAAGCCCTTAAATCTTCACTAATTTGCCCCCATTTTCTTCCCCTTTCTGTCTTATCCTCTCCTTCCTCCGACCTTCATTTTTTTTTTTTTTTTACCTTTGCCTTCTAGAAATCAGATCTGGAAAGGCGATCCCAGGTGCCTATGTTCACTAGGTTCGTCACGAACCTAGGCACCGGGTTCCTCACGAACCCAGCCTCGTGTGTTGCTGTGTTTCCTCGCATCTTTTCTTCTATTCTTTTTTACTTCACCATTCTTGGTTCGGGTACTAAATCTTGGATTTTTGTGTGTTGATTTTGGATTTCATGGTTAAGCAGTCATCGAAATTGGTAGAGGGGAGGCAATATTACTCAAGATTATGGGAGGGAATTTCATCTGAAATTGAAATGTGTTGAGGAATGAGGAGAAAAGAATTGCTATGAAAAATTAATTTTGGAGAGGATGGAAAGAACAAAAATTTGTGTTGAAAATTGTTAAATTTTTATCTAATTTATGTTTGAAAAGTAAAACAAAAAATAAATTAAAACTATTAAATTTGATTAGAAGAAATAAATGAGTTTAGTAAAATTATTATAGTAATATAATATTTTATTTAATTTATGTTTGAACAATAAAAAAATTAAATTAAAACTATTAAATTTGATGAAAGAAAATAAACAATTGAATATTACATATTAAATGATTTTAGTAAAATTATTATAATAATTTAATATTTTTTCCTATTCACATTATCATTTGTATCAGCATTGTATTTTCAAATAATTTTGTAAAAAAAAATTTTTTTTTTTTTTGATCCACAACATCAATTTTTTCCCACATAGCATTTTCATGTCTTTCTTTGAACCCCATTTATTAATGTGTAATTACATGTCAACAATGAAAAGAGAAAAAAACAAAATATTTAACAAATTATAGTGCCATGATGTGACTTAATTAACGAAAAAACTAAAAAGATATCAAATTTTAAACTTTAAGAACCAAAAAAGGGATTCTCTCAATACAAAGACTAAAAAGGGATATTTTTCAATAGTAGAAGGTCCAAAAATAATATATAATTAAATTTAAATTTTAAATTTAACTTATAAGATAATACTTATTTATTGATGGATCTTAAAAAAGTAAAATGAAACAATGATTAAAATATGAGCTAAAATAGTATAAATAAATTAAGAATTAAGAATAAAAGGGATAAAATAAAATTTAATGAACTTAATTAATTATTTTTGGAAAGTTTAGGAGGGTCTTGTCCAGGCACCATAACTCTACCCTTGGTTTTTAGGTCAATTTTTAGTTTACAGGTAATTGGAAACTAAATTTTCTCTTAAGTCAAAAGCAAGTTATTTATATTATGATTAAAAAATTCATAAAAATTATTTTCTTATTGAAGTTTCAAAAGAATCAAACTTTAAAACTAACAAACAAAATTTCTTTTTAATTAAGTCTCAGTTTGGTATAATTTTAGTTTTAGGTTTACGGTTTTTATTTTTTATATATTTAATAACCAGTACTCTATTTAAATTAAATTTAATAAATTTAAATTTTTATAATAAATTTAATTTTTAGATATAATAATAATTATTAAATATATAAAAAATAAAAACTCAATACCCAGAACCAAAACCATACTAAAACAGTCTAAACTAACACGCTCCTTTGCTGGTTAATGGCCTTTCTTCTTCCTTTTTTTTTTTTTTATGTTTTAGCAAAAGCTCGAGCAACTCTCTAAATTTTGACTGAGTTGTACCAAAAAAAAAAAAAGAGTTTGACTGTTGAGTCCACTCCAACTTAGGTAAGCCCAATCCAACTCAACCATCCACTTGAGGCTGGAGAGGTAACATGATCCCCACGTTTTACGAAATACGTGACGAGTCTGTCCCCTTAATTTAGGTTTAACCTCATAGTGATCCCCAAAACTTATAGATTTTAAGATTATTAGCCCCCAACCTAAAAGTTTAAAATTATTAATCCTCAACAATATGATTTAGGAAAATTCATCCTTATTTCCCAAATTTGAAATGTGTTTTTTACAATAGCATTAGTTAGATGTTATTCTTATCCCACTCAGTGATACATCAACATCCTCTCTCCTAGCTAGCAGAGCCAAGATGGTAATGAGAGAGTGGGCACATATTATACTGGATAGGATATTTTTCTTTATTGCCACCGTAGCATGCCAAGTAAGAGAGAGGAAATTGATATGTTTCGCTAGTAGGATATGGGCATGATGTCTAAGTAATACTCACTTAAGAAGTAAACTTCAAATCTTTCAACACGGGGTAAATTCTCCAAATTTTGTTGTTAAAGGGTTAATAACCTAAAAATTTATAAATTAGAGGGCTCAATAAATGTTTAAGCCCTTAATTTATGCTAAATCAGGGTCAAAGCTGTTTGGGTCTAGAATAATTTGGGCTAGGCTCAGATGTTTATAGGTCACAAAGGCTGCCTGGTTCATGATAAGAGCTCGAAATCTGGAAATCTCTTCGACTTGGGGATAGCCCAAAAAAAGGTTCAGTCTGCTCTTAATATAAAAGCCCAACATATATATTTTTTCATGAATAAAAGCCCAACAAAAATCAGATAATAAAATATTTAACGCAAAACACACTAGCTTCATTTTCTCCAATTTTCGACCTTGGTGTTGATAGGCTGTAAATGAATTGAAATGGTCGATCTAAGCTTGGCTCAGGCTTGGTTCGTTTGCTAAATTAGTTGAGCTCAAGCTCATTTTCAAGTGCGTATGTTGACTCACAAACTACTTACGAGTAACTTGTTTAGGATAAAAAAAAGTAATAAATTATATTATTTGATTTAATTTAATTGAATTATAATAAGTCAAATTTAAACTTATTATTGTAAAGTCGAATCTAAGTTTAAGCATTCCAATACTCAGTTGGGCTCAATTTAGCTCATTTACAACCCTAAGTGTCGATATGTATCGGGATCTGTATCTCTGAATTTGGGGAGCACAAGAACACAAGATGACTACCTAATCCTTTCTCGCCCCATCTCCATAATTCATACCCTTTACTAGACATTTTTCATATTGACATTTTTTCTTGTACATAAGAAAATTAATTGCTCGACGTTGTAAAGATTAAATCCTTGATAATAACTATAAATTAATATTTTTAAATTAATAAATACATACAACTCAACAAAACTCATGTTAATTGGTCTTTATATTGACCTACATTCACATAAATTGGTGTATATATATATACACACACACTATTCTACTGGCCCTCTTTGGTTCAAACTTCTTCCAAAAAAAGAATCCTGGAAAGTCGATAAAAAATCAGCTAGGCTTGGCCCAAAAAATTAAATTTCTTGATATGAAAATTAAGGTGCAATACAATTGATTATAAAAGGTATATAACTGATTATAAAAATTTATCCTTTATTTTCAAAAAAAATTGATTACCTTACTTTTCAACTAAAAAAATCTCAAAAAAAAAAAAATTGTTTTCCAAGAAAGTTGGTATATAATCACTCACCTAATTCATTATCATCAATTATATTACACCTCCGTTCTTATGTTAAAAAATTTAATTTTCTAAGCCAATCCAAGCTGCATTTTCATCGACTTTCTTGAATTATTTTTTAAGGAGAATCTTCAATGAAACAGGCTCTATTATCACATTGAAAAATTAAGGGGAAACTTAGCTATACACCTAAATATATATATATATAATACAGCATAGATTATAGATTAAATAGTAGTTATATATACCAAAATGAAAGAACAACTCCTGAACGAAACCATAAATCATTGCGTACGAAATATTAGACAGAAAACTGCCATTTTCAAACCGCTAAGTTAAAATTTTTGGTAAAATAGGACTAAATTAACAAAAGAATGAAGTATGCTAAGCACATCATTAGCCAAGCAAATTGAAAAAAAATAAGAATAGCTAAAAAGAAAAACTCCAAAATCATTAAATTAAAGAAGCAAGAAAAAAGACTCGAGTCATACATATCTAGATGCTGAATTTATTAATATGGGATACAATAATTATTAACACTCTAGTTGTGATAAGATAATATTGTATTCCTTTTCAACCATAATAAAATCTTATATTCATATTCAAATTAGTAAAGAAATGAAAGTTCTCTCGCCATCATTTTCTAAGAGTTTTACTTGAAATTTCGGAAATTATATTGAGAGTCAACTCTTTGCAATCTTGCACTACTCTACTTGCCATAATATTTTACTTTTTCAACCTAATAATCTATTGTTTAATTATTAACCTTTAATTTTAAGGGTAGAATTGTTGATTAATATAAGAGATGTATATGGCAATCACTTTTTTTTTTTAATTTTAAAGTACCAATAGCTCCGATAGCTTTTCTAGACTTTCCAGTATTTTTGTTTTTTGGCCGAAGTAAGACCTTTTAGTTTTGTCCAATTAATAATGTTCATTAATCATTAAGGCTTTTGCTCCTGTTCAATACGTAATGATTGTGATGGCCAAAAAAAAA